GAAAAATATACAAGATATTTCTGGCGCTATTGATAATTGTTGATAAACTATTGATAACGTTTTTTGAAAGCTTTTAACAAGATAAACAAGAAGAATTAACTAAAAAAACTAGCACGATAAAGGCTAAGCTATAACACGAAAATCTGTTAATTTCTCAGAAAAAAAATAAATCGAGTCTTAATCAGCATAAATTTATAAAATAAAAATAGGCTTACGGATTTACGAATGCTATTAAAACGCAGCTAAAAATTCGGCATTGTATCCGGCATTATCTGCGTTTCGGCTGTCTGCGTTTTGTCCTGTCTGCGTTTTGGCTGTCTGCGTTTTGGCTGTCTGCGTTTTAGCATTCTGTGTTTTGGTTGTCAGCGTTTTGGCTGGAAATCTATCCGGAAGTATCGACATCCCATATTCGCTATTGGCTTTTCCCGCGAAGCTTCTGACCAAACAATGCGCTGACCGGCGCTTAATGTCAGTTTCAACGTGGAGCGGTCAAACAGCGGCCGTATTCCGGAAACTCAAAGTCTGCTGTGCAAAGCCGTTCGAGAACCGAACATCAGGCTTCGAGTAGGCGCATTAGGGGTGTCAGGAGAATTTTTGGCCTTGCTGGGCACACATCACATTGGTGGAGGTGTGAAGGTCAATCGGGCTTCGCGTTCAAAGTAAAGGTTGTTGCCGGATCAATTTATGAAAATCGTGGCTACGGTTTCCTAAGCAAGATCAGCCAGATGGCTTAAAAATCGGCGGGAAAGAAGAGGTGAAGCGAAAAATACAGAACAAAATAGATTACGATATTGTTGTTGTTTGTCGCGATTCTCGGTTGCCAAAAATTGCGTCCAAATCCGCTGCATAAATTCCCGATTTTTAGACTGACGCTTCTCTAATGTCTGGCAGCAGCCATTGGAACGCTGGCGCCAGACTTCACACTCCACATTTCACCCTGCCACAAAAAAACTCGGCAACTTTGACGCCTCCGACTTTTCACGCCAGCTCATCGTTCAGATGTGCAAATAGGGTCGTGACTGGCACGAAACTACGGGGCCGAACGGAAAAACTCGGATACAGATACTTGGGATAGTAAAGGTCGATTTAATGAAAGGTTTTACCAGCAAGAAAAAGGTTTTATGCGCAGAAAAGTAGCGAATTTTGCTTTGTCGTAAAGTAGTAGATCAAAACGTAAAAGAAAGCGATTCATGTGAAACAGTGGGTAGCGTAAGGAGCGTTCAAACGTAGTCTGTAAATTGTGTTCTTTTTTCTAATAATTCTTTGTTTATAACTGTTTGACCCCGGAGCCGCTTTTTACCACCTCCATCAATTTTGCAAGCTCTACACTTCAGCAGCAGGGGAATGGAATGTGCGTGGGAACGCGGGTGGTGGTGGGCTGGGATTTGCGCGGATCTGTAAAAAACGGCGGCCCGAATTATTTGCACTTCGACCAGACTTATTGCTATAAAAGGATTAGCGAGTCAGGCATCCATATTCACTTCAGTGGCTCAGCATCAACAATGCAGACGGTCTTCTACCTCATCGCGCTCTTCGTCGTGGCTTGCCAGGTTTGTTTGGGAGGCTTTAGAAGTTGTATCCTTGAAATTTCTTAAGGCATATGTTCTTTAGGCGCAAGATTCATCTACGACCACCACCACGACAATGACGACTGGAACGGAGACAACGACTACTGAAGGAACGGAGACCACCACCACGGCCAATACGGAAACAACGACGACTGGTGCTGAAACGACCACCACGGATGCCGACAGTTACTCGGGCAGCTGTGTTGATACTAACTCTAAGTAAGCCGTCGTTTGCTTACGATACCTTGACCGATACAGCACCTGTGAGAGAGAGAGAGAGAGCGTGAGAGCGAGAGTGAGAGAGAAGAGAAAGGGGGAGCTATTGCTCGCGAGAAAGAGATCGCTAAAAAGGAAAACGTGGCCCGTCAAGCCTTACTTTCAGCTGCGCCACCTGGGTGTCGAACGGCTTCTGTACCAACACGGCCTACACGATCGAGCAGAGGGGACAGTACTGCGCCAAGAGCTGCAACCTCCAGCCGGCCTGCAGCGGCTCTGACACTACTTGCAGTGATACGAGCAGCAAGTAAGTTCCGGAATATAAGCTGTAGTTAGAAGTTAGGCTACCAGTGGCAAATTAGAAGATACTTTCCACCCAGCATCAGTGTAGTCAACCCATATTTCAGCTGCGCCAACTGGGTCGCTAACGGCTTCTGCACAAACACCTTCTACACGAACTCTCAAAAGGCCCAGTACTGCGGCGCTAGCTGTAACTTGTGCTCGTCGAGTGGCGACGATTCTTCATCGTCCTGCACGGATGGAAGCACCAAGTAGGTTTTCACGACATTTTGACGCATAGGTCGACGGTCTGGGTGTAAAAACCAGACGATTAAATATCTTTTCTTCATAGATCAGCAGTAGCACTCTGAATTTCAGCTGCGCCAACTGGGTTGCTAACGGCTTCTGCTCTAACACCTTCTACACGACCGCCCAAAAGACGCAGTACTGCGGCTCCAGCTGCAACCTCTGCTGAGACACCCTCAATACCATGCCGTCGTCACAATAATAATGACAACCAATCGGCTTATAATAAATTATTGCAATCATCTTCCTTGCCTACTTGAACGGTTTTTATAGACGAAGGAATAACAAATTCGTAAACCTGCAAAATCAAGAATCGGTTTACAACGTTTCGTCGATCTCCCCAGACATTTCGCATCATAGTCCAAGATCCGGGATAGAAAAACCTGGCGGCGCCCAGTTTTTTGATGTACATCGTGGGTACACAGCCGCCCAATCGAGACAATTTTTCAGCGGCGCCGGATGAAAAAGTGTGGATTTGTTACATGGCTTGGTTTGTTTGCAGCCATGTACAAGGCTTGTTCTCTTGGGATCAATCCCGTTTTTGGATTGAATTAGCTTACAAGCTAGCGAGAATTGCTCTGACAGCTCACCTGGACTAGATTGGAAAGTTCAGACGTGGCAACCTAGACAAAGTTGGAGTTAAACTCGGTCTAATCGTCAACAACAGCTCATGCGTGACACGGAATTTTGTGGAATAGATGTATGGAGTTAGGAACTAGCACAAGAGAGCAAGCACGTGTGCGCGACTTCGACGCAAGGTAATGCTCGGCCCTGCCGCTGTCTGGCAAATACTTGAATCCTCCCTACGCGAAAAAGCAGCCTTTAGAACAGAAGTATAATTTTCTGGTTGATTGTTTTATCCTTGAGTTTGCGCGGCGCCCTAGAGCACAAGGTTGGCTAAAAAACAGGGGCTCAAGGCCAGGCACTGATTGACATCATGCATTTTTGACGTCTGGCGCTACAGCGTAAGTGGCTGCCCTCGATTCTTAGAAGCGGTGAAAAGAGAAACGTTTCCACATTCAATTTGTGAAAACGTAATTGGTTAACAAATTATTCCCATAGCATCGTTCCAAAATGAGGACCCCGGCCAAATTGACTTCTATGGGAAACGGAATGCCTTTGGGGGGAAATGCTGTCCAAACCAAGCGCTCGGTTGAATGATGGAGTCTTTCAGGTCCGATCGGATCCGGCAATCTTCTGGATACACCAAAACCACTAGAAGCTGCGGAAATTTCTATAAATTACGAAGCGATCAGCGCTTTATGCAAAACTCGTCATTCCGGTCATTCGGGGTCCTTAGGATCCCCGTGAGGTGAAGTACCTATTGCCATTCCGGTAGACGCAATGTGTCTTGCGGCTAACCTGAAAGGTTTCTCTTCGAGCTAACTAATCAAAAATGCTCGATGGCAGCTTTTGAAAACGAATCCGGGGCCAAAATGGCATTTTGCGGCGATCAAACGTTGTCGGGCCTCGCCCGGCGACTGTGCAAACGAGCGGCTAAGTCGGGTGGTGAAGGTCAATTTTCCACCGGCTCCTGGCTGGCGGCATTGCCATGTACAACACGGCGCCGGGCATACGATCGTTATAAGCATTTCCATTAATTATGAAGTCATTCTCTGTCAAGCCAAAGTCATTGGACGTGCAAATGGTTTCCCACAATGATACGCCCATAGTCTGCCAGGTGGGCCGTTTGCGGATTTTCTGATTTGCGGGCTAAACGATGGCGCGACTCGCGACGTTGAGTATGGATGATTCGTCCAATTTTTAAAATTAACTAAAACATAAACAAGGTCGAACTGGCACGTGGCACCCTTCCTGCATTTACTTGCAATCAGAGAATTCTTTTTATTTGACGTTTCAGCGTGCAAACCTGGTTTTCACAATCATCGCCAACCTGTGCATCTTTTGCTGTTTGGCGCTGATCGACGATCTGGATAAATGGAATACGATCTTGATTACAGTATGTAGAAGTTTTTTAAGCTTCTGTTCGAGCTTCGCAACTGTGTAGGACGTCACACAATATTCTTGTACTTTTTAGTTGCTCGGCGTTGGCTTGTACCCGTTCCAAATCAGGCAGATGCTTTTGGGCTGCCGGCAACTGGACGAAGGCAGTGCCTGGATTTATCGATCAGTTATCGTACGTTTCTGCTTTCTTCAGCGTTGTTTTCAACTTTTCAAAACTAATTTCAGGTCAGCCAATTTGCCGCGGAGGCTGTTTTTCTTCTATGCTCCGTTGAGAAGTTGTCGATGCAGGGACAAGAATTGTATGCAAATTTCAGTTGCAGGCAACCGGTAGTTTAGAATATTTTGCTTCGAGCAGCGGTCGTTGATCATGTGCACAAATTTTATTGGCGCCGCCGGTATGGTTAACGGTTGGTCGCGCGAGAGCAACGAAACAACCAAATTTTCTTCTAGCTGTCGGGCTGGCTACGATTTATTTTTCAAAGCAGAAACCGGTAGATGAAGACCGAGTACCCATCATCAGGTACCTATGTTTTTGAACATCTAACAATATTCTAGGCAATTAGGCACCAACTATGCCGAAGCCGACAAACTACAGCCGCTCGTACATCACACTTTTACCAAAAATCTTGCATAAAAACTTCAAATAAAGCAAAAAATCGACGACAAATGAATGGCAATGTGACTTTCATGCATTTCCTCATTGCCTATCCTTTTTATTGCTTTGCAAGGCTTATTACAATGCCTATGTAAAAAGATTGAAACCCCTTTTCCCCCGCGTCACAGGTTTTCTGCCGATCTTCGCTGCCCTCTTTATCTAACATAAAAAAAACCGCAGGGCGCAAGTGTCGTGGGTTAAAGTGTCGGTGGCAAATTTCGGAGCGCCATGCTTGCTAGGAAGTCGTTTGCCATGTACCCGTCTGGATAGGGCAAGAATTATTTCGTTGGGTGCACCTTTTACTTTATCCAGCGGCCGGTTTGTATTCTATGAGCACCATTATGGTGCTACGTGCTGGGGACCGCGATATTTGTCCCTCTTGTAGGTCCGAGAACACTGTAGTCGGGCTTGCCATGCCAGCCAAGGCAATGCTGTGGGGCATTGTTCTCGAAATCAACAACCGGTAGTCCAGACCGGGGACTGTAGTTGACAGTGATACTAACGGTGTTTTGGGGGAAAGGCCAGTCTCCATTTACCCACCCCAATTGCGTGTCCTGGTGACGGTAATCGCCCCAGTTCAATTCGCACACCGATTACGTGTTGTAATGATTCGCTCTTGGGAAATTCTCCTCTAAACTCCGAAATTCATTGATATGCCATGATAGCAACATTCAACAGGCATCGATCACGCCCCCCGAGCTACAGTCATTAGATGCGAGTCAAATGTCTCAGGCCAGTGTCGAGTCAAAGAACGGACCCATCCGATGGGGTCAAATTGCAGCTGCGCAAACGGAGGGTGTGGCTTCCTCGAAAAAAATGTGCTGCATTGCCATGTACAACACGCAGAAAAGCATTGGACTGATCACAGAATTTCAAGCAGAAATGGAGGACGGTAGCTCTCTCGCAAAAACCGAAAACTTCGATCAGTCAGCATTGTTTTGGGAGGTTAGCTTTGTACCCGGCATTCCAGTACCTTATCGTAATTATTTGGCATCTATGTGATACAATCGCGTGTTTCAGAAAGCGAGTCTGCCCATTACCGTCATTACGCACTTGACGGTTTCTGTTGGCCTAGCGCTTCTTGTTGATTTTTCGGGTTGGACAACACTTTTGGCAACGGTAAGTATAGGACTCTCTAGCGTGGTTTGGCTAGCGTTCACCGCCTTAACTTGTTCCTTTTAGTTAATCGGCCTGGCAATATATCCATTCCAAATCCGCCAGATGCTTGTTGATTGTCAGGAGCTGGGTGTGAAAACTGCCTGGGTATACCCAGGCTTTATTGTGAGTCCCGCATAACCTCACCAACTGAAACATTTTTTCCAGGTGCTCCAGATCATCGCTGAAACTATAGTGTTTATCCTATCCTTTGAAGAACTTGGGACAAGGGATGAACATATGTAAGCTATTTCGAATTCTAAATAAACTCGCTCCTAGCGTCTTCTCTTTCCAAAAGCAAGGTCTCGTTCTGATCGTGAATCTCATTGGCAGGGCTGGAATGGTGAACGGTTGGTTCGTCAAGACCTTGGAAAATACGGTTGTTTAGCCGTCGGACTGATCACAATCCATTTCTCCAGAGAAGGCGATGATTATCAAAGATTTGGAAGGTCGAGCAGGTAAGAGTAAAGCAGAGAAAAACACAAATTTTAGCATTTCTACAATTTGCGGCGCGGAAGCTGACAAATCAACGCACTTGCTGAACAGGGATTGCTGCAAAATTGACATCTAAAACGCAAATGAAAACCGGATAAATGTTTTTTGCCCACAAATAAAAATGCAAGACAACTCTCATATAGAATTTTAATTTTTCAGAATTATACCGCTGAGGTTCCGAATAACCTTGAAGTTTTCAAAAAGCTCACGGACGGTTCACCCCAAGGCCTGGATCGCCGCAGGGAATAGACATTTGATTACTGCCCCTGATTCCGCCCAGGGCCCCTTTGCGCTTTGTAAGCTCCGATTCGACGTTTGGTCAAATGTCACCTTTTTGATGTTTGTACTGAAATTTCCCAGCTACCGAAGGAGCATGGCCTGTTGCTACACGGTACGGCTGGTCTATCCAAACAAACTGTTCCGAAATCTGGTTCTGCCTGCAAAAATCGAACTCACTCTCTCTCTCATTCTCTCTCTTTCTCTCTCTCACTCCGGCCCTCTCCTGGCGTATACAGTACCCCCCGAAGCAGTGTGTCAATTTGCCGAGGGCTTTGGCGCTAACAGCCTAACTGAAACTCCGAAAATGCGGATTGCGGCTTGTGGCTTAGATTCTATTCCTCAATTTCTGAATTCAGTAATTTTATTCCAACACGTTTCGGTTTATTATCGGATGCGTTGTATCGCTGTACACGTCACAAAACCGGCGAGCTTCAGAAGAATAAGTAAAAGCCGAACGAACATGGAAGTGAAGTAGCTGACCAGCATAGGCATAGGGTTTTTGATGTGCGGGTGATGCGGGGAACAAGCGGAACGGCCAGGAAACTTCGAAAGGGTCTGTAGAGCGTATGACTGGTATTGGTTTATCCGCACCCGGTGGGCGCTCTCGACGCGGTCGTCCGGGGCGACATGCCATTTCGCCGGAACGAACTTCTGAAAAAATAAAATAAAGACAGTTTCCAGCCATGAGAGCTACTAATGGTTTAATTCACCAACTTTCCATGTCTAAGCCAGCAGCCACGCATTTTTGCCATCTACACAGTTGGCAGTAGGATCCACTGGGGCTAAAAGAACAAGTTATTCTGCATAAGAAGTGGGTTATGGTTGTTGTAAAAATAACTATAAGCACAGTTATTTTTACAACAACCATAAGCAATAATAATAGAAGTTAAAATTAACTGCGCAAAATTCTGATTTTCTCCGCAGATCGTCGAAAAAGCCTACCTTCGCCCAAATTGACATTTCCCGCGACCGCGGCATCTATAGAAACGCCACACTTTGCTCTGCACGGACCTCAGAAAACCATAAATAGTTTAATGTTCTTCGAAAATACCTTGAAAAAGCTCTTGCAACCCGGACAGGTCCATTGTCCGTAGTGAATTCCGGTGGCCGTCAGCCCGCAAACGACACAAAGCCGTTGCTGAAAAAAAGATAAGGATAAGCCTTGATTTATAATATAAGACTGGCAGTGATCCAAACCTTTTTGAATTTTGTACGTAATTCGTCGCAAGGGACGGGAAGACTAGCCGGTTTTACAGCTTTTTCGGGTGAAGAAGAACACGCCCTGAAAACTGACGTTTAGCACTTGACAAACCACACTCTTTATCTGCTCGAAATTTTCTGCAGTTATTCTGTGGTTCAGCAACTTTGCAAAAACTTTCAAGCTTATGCAGGGGGCGTAGCCAGAAAAAATTTCGGGGGGGGCCCCCAAAAAATTTTTCAAAAAAACTCAAAACATTGCCGAAAAGACAGCGCCGCAGGCAAAAATTTTTGAAAAAAAGGCTGCATAGCTCTAAAAATAGCCGTAAAAACGCGAAAAAATAGCGCCGCAGGCAGCAAAATTTTTGAGAAAATAAAAATCATAAGGGTCCCCCCTTATGAAATTTTCGGGCCCCGGCCGATTTCGAGGGGGGCCCCGGGCCCCCGGGGCCTGTATTACGCTACGTCCCTGAGCTTATGCATTGATCCTACGCTGACGCATTTTAACCTGTTGATTGATCATTGATCAGAAACTTACGATTGACTTCCAAAATCTTTCACATACAGTTCAGGCACTTCCTCGGCTAATTTTCTGGGTGAACTGTGCAGGTTACAATCCTGTGCGTCGTAAGGATTCGTGAACACGACGTACATACTCCTAAAATGCAGGTTTCTAAAGTTATATCAAAACAAGAACAAAATAGATGATGGGGGCAGCCCTAAAAAGAAACGGCTAACTTCGGAAGCCGTGCATTTGTGCATAAATCACAAGGACCGGCATGGAAATTGTCATGTAAACAATGCAGATCAAACCACCATGTTTGGAAAGCTGGCGGCCGAAATTGAGATCGCGCTCAAACCAAAAATCTCAAAACTGACCTTTATTGGCAACCGTATATTTTATTCTTGAATCATTTCTCTAGGGAAATAGCATTACATAAATTAAAGAAAACTCCTAAAACTACAGGAAAAGGCAAGGAAGGAACGTATGAGCTGTATACGCTACTAACACACCGACTGGAATTTTAAGACTACTGCAGTAATCAGGACAAAAAAACTATTACAATTGAGGTGTCCAAATAGTTATTAAAGGTTGCTAGCTCCCAAGGACTATCTCAATTTTGGCTAAATTTAGCTTCTCAAATATCTTAAGTGGCCCTTACAGATACAGATTCCCGGGGTTTTGCCGTGTTTGAAGCCTCATCACTTTCGCCATGTGGTTGCAATGGCCTCTCATCGGTTTTCCACATTAGTCAATTAGCTCGGTAAGACGCATAAATAATGGTGTACATGGTGCGGCAAAAGTTCCTGGACCTTTGTTTGGCGCCCATACAAATTTGAGCGAAATTGTAGAAGCAGTGATGAGGAATCAGAATACGTGCGTCTTTTCGGGACACCCCACGGGATTTCTTAGAAATGTGCCTTAGCAGTTGTAGGCTGGTCTCGCAGAGACATTTGGGCCAATGGCATTTTAACCGTGCATCGGAATGAAGCAGTTTTTTGCTAACAAATAGCTTACAATTTGGCAGTCATGATGGCAAATCGAGATTATGCGGAAAATTGAACCCTAGCGAGTTTTAGTCATTTAAAAATTGCACGTAAATGGCCCTTCAGCAAAGGCGATTTTCAAGGCTTTCTGAAGCGGATCCAGAAGGCCGGACATTGATCTGTAGTAGTTTCTGAAAATAGTAATGTGTTCTTTAGGCTCTCGGATATGAAATTCTTAAACTAGCCAAAATTATCAGGGTTTGATTAATCACGCAGCCCAAAACTTGACCAAATGGACTGCATGCCGCGAGGCCTCGCGAGGCGAGAGATCCGTAACTTCTAGAGCTCCATTTTCAGGAATTCCATGAACTAGCGGAAAAGTGCTTACGAATTCTGTTTCAGCATCAGGTTTTCTATAAAATCACCAAATCTGACGGTCTCATGGTCGCTTCACGACGTTTTTTGGCGCAAACATTAAGTCCAGGAACTTTTTGCGCACCCTGTGTATGACCTGCGAACTCCGATGGCAAGTTCCCCTGTAAGCTGTTTTTATGCGCGGATCGCTTGTGACAAATATTTTCAAATTATACTTTTTGTCTCCTCAATCGTCGTAACATGAAGGTTTTGCACCCCGAGTTTTTGGAAAATGTCACATTTATCGTATTTGCCGTATAGAGCGAACGGGGTAGAGGCGAAAACCCGATTTTGGGCTGGTATGCGCCGTGACTATTCAAACAATTGGTCCATGTTCCTCCGGAAAGAACACGACGAAACCTCTGGATGGATACAGTATTGCCTTGTTGATCGTCGCTGTCGATTATTAATGGGTGGTACGTAAAATGATGCTTTCACCCGTGAGCTCAGACAGTCTTCGTACTTCTGGTTAGTCGTATTGGCCGGGTCGAATCCGTCCGAAAAATTTGCATGTGGAGTCGCCTAGAAATGAAACAGAAAATGATCTAATTGCAGGCAAAAATTTCCAGCAGGTGAGTTCCGTTGAAGTTCTCGAACAGGCGATTGTTGCACAGAGGTTTTTCAAACTGGGAGATTTTCCAAAACCAAATTTTTGCGCAAAAAACAGAAATGATGTGCGTCGTATACTAATTGTTTCCTAACGAATAAGTTTGCGAATTTTTCCATCAAAACTTAATTTTAAGGGCGAAAATGGCGCATTTTCAAACATCTCATTAGTCGGCAGTCATCAAGAATATTACCATACGCACCTAATAACGTATTTTCCACGCTTTAAACATGGTGCCCTCATCCGTTATGAGTGGAATCCGGTCACGGAAGTTGCATGCATTTCCCACACACGCTATTTTTTCCATTTATCGTAGGATATGTCGAGGCAAGTTCCGGAAATTCAGCCACCGCGTCTTTAGCACCGCGACGCGGCAGAACAAAAAAAAGACAAATACCAGAGCTTTACTTAAATAAAGATTTTTCACATCATATCACATCAGAAACTATCAGAAAGTTGGAAAGCATACCTGAAATTGGTCATGCAAATCCAAGCCGTTTCTGCATATCCAACTCCAGCAAATGGAATTCCGATCATCACGCCGGCAGTCATTACATCGGCACTCACTAGATCGACCGACGCTCCTTACGCCTATACTGGTTACGCCGGCGGTTACGTTTTATTAGGTCGACACTTATTACAACGACACTAATTACACCGGCACTTATCATACCGGTACTGATTACACTGACAGTTTATTACGCCGACACTTACTACGTCCATACCAATTACGCCGGTCCCCAATTTTGGACAATTCAGTTTCCACTATTTTTCGGGCGACTTTATTCTCCCAAAAATCTTTTGATGTTTCAACTTTATTTATTTTCGGGGGTATTTTTGCTTTCGCTAGACGGCTAGCCTTTACGTTCCCTTTACCTTAATTAAGGGACAAAATAATTTATTATGGAAAAGTCATATCATAAAATTTTAGGACAAGCGACCTTGGGGACGTCGAGAAGTAATAAAGTCTGACCGGCTTGATCATGAAAATGTATTTACAACTTAAAATACGCTAAAAAATGAGCATTGCGTTGCTAATAGTATATTGGGTATATTGGTGTATTGAGTGTCGGCGTAATGAGTGTCGG